CCACTAGCCGTGTGGTGAAGCATTTTTTCTTGTGTTGGAACATGACTGTCCACATGATACGCGTCCGTATGGATTAAAACGTATAAACAAATATTTGCTGCAAAAACACCGGTTTCTAATAACATTACATGAAACACATCGCTACAGCCGTAGTGCAACACGCCCACGCACACACACACACACTCACACACACACACACACACACACACACACACACACACACACACACACACACACACACACACACACACACACACACACACACACACACACACACACACACACACACACACACACACACACACACACACAAATTCCTCTGGGCCACAGTACTCGGTCGGGCCCACCCTCTCTACGGGCTTCCGCTGCCCTTCGTCCTGTCCTACCGCATCGGACTATATTGTTGCATGCATCATAATCCATGCACATCACCGTTGGAGCTGAGCTGTCTCTGTGACCGTAATCAGCTTTGGGTAGAGTGGGCACTCTTTCTCCATGTCGGCCCTGCCACGCCGTCCCTCCTCCCCGTCTTCCTCCCCCGCCCTTCCCCCTCCGTCCTTGACGGCGGGTCGGGTCGCGGTCGGTGCGCACACTCATTGACATGATGCTTATCGGCCTACACCATTCCGCTACGCTGTCCGCGCGCCGCATTGTGCTGAAGCGCGCCGTTAACGACACATTTCAGCGAAGCAAATCGTCTTACATAATCCTCGAGCATTGTTCAGTTTGCTTAGGGAGCTGACCAGCCTAGGCCAGTTTGAACGTCTTTTCGTAAAACGCTGTTAGCCCTGGTGTGCGTGAAAAGGGCGAACTCGGTGTGTCGGCGCTGTACGAACGCTGTGTGTCGGCGTTATATGATTACTGGATGCACGTTCGTAACCTTCACAGGAAGCACGGGAAAAACGTATACTGCCTCTTGACGTACAGAATCGAAACAATTAAGAAAAGTGTTCAAAGTCGCAGAAAGTCAACTTCTGTGACAATTTTTCTCAGATGATGGTTGGCGACACATAAAATGCTCTTAAGGTGGCGGAAGCAAACCCAGGGCATAATAGATAGTTAAGCCCTCTTAGATGCGTCGCATAGACCTGTCGCATAAAAGTCGCCGACGTAAAATACTTATTTTCGCATTCATGATTATCTTCTGTTCAAAATGCTGCTTTCATAGCGTACGGATCTTTTTTGACGTTCTTGATCGTTAACTAACATTCTTATCTCACCTGATTCTTAAAACGTCATTCTAAGCGTTTTTTTTCATAAACGTTTTTATGACAAACTAATTTCATCCTTATATTAATTTGCAAGAAACTAAGTTTAAGTCATAAGCTAACAAGGTATGCAAAACACAAAGTATTTTATCAGTCTCTCACGTGCGGTCAGTGGAAGGTATATGGAGCTGTGGCGATTCACCTTGGTAAGGGTTTGCGTTTACGACATTTTGCCGTCCATCTTTTGAGCTTGATGACGTCACCACTATTTAAATGTATGCTACGAAGTTCTCGAATCGCCAAATCAATGTCGGACGTAACTGATATCATATCAGATAGATGTGATGAATTTTCACCCATATTTGATCCTACAAACCTTCGACAAGAAACAAGTCAGCACAATTAGGACTTAAAAGGTGATCCACCTACCTTAGCATCCTTGTTTTTGAAATGTTAGAGAGACGGAAATTGACCTTTTTCGAAGCCTTAATTGCTCCATCACTGGGGCAAATAGGCGCGAAAATGTTTTGATTATATTAATCGGGCTGTAACACAAGCCCCATGAAACATACTTAAAATAATTCTTTCCACTCCCTGAAAAGCTCAGCAGTCATCGATTTTCCACTGGAGTAACTTTTAATTTGCACAAGGCCGGGAATGATTAGCTTCCGTCACATAAAAACCGATAAGGAAATCGCGCTACCCAGCAAAATTTCCTGAGCTGCGATGCGTTATCAAAGAGGCTGAAGATGAATCAGATCACGCACGTAAACTCCACTAGTTCAAACGCGCACAATAGTCGTTTTATTACTCTAGCAGGTGACTCAAACGCTACAATGGTCGCATTAACCACATGCGAGTCATGGGTGCGCGCTATACGTGTCATCGCTGGGTGACCTAACGGCACCGAGAAACAAATGTGCACGTCCTTTCCGCGAGCGTTGGCTTTCTCTGACATGCAACCAGTGTCTGCGTCGATGTCGTGCCTGATATTGCAGAGTGATAACATCAGATAGGTAAATGTATGTGTTTTTCGAAGTCTTCATGCAGCGTTATTCCTGTGTCTGCACTATCTGCGTCATTTGGCATGTAGTGCACGACATAATCTGTTCGGCGAATTGCTTATGTACCGATCCTCACGAATGCCTACAACTCAGCTGCGAATAAATGGCTTGCCTGAGCGGGTGGTAGTAGTAGAGTACATACTGAAGCGCTCTCTGGGGTGCCATGGGTAGCGTGGTGACACAGAGGACTGAGCGCTCGTGCCCAAGATCGGATGCACACATTTCGCGACGTTTCCCTGGCCTTGTGTCTCGGCAACTGCATTGTTCGAATTCTGTGTTATTCTAACGATGATAACGCGACGTGCCGAAGACAAATGTGACCGCATATTCATATGTTTACACCACGAAATAGCTTCTGCTTCCTGTTTCGACTACCGAAAATGTGACATCTGGGTGGACGACATATTGGGAATGGAGGCATCTCTGGTGAGCACCAGCTGGCAGTTGCTACGTATCAGAGCATGAACTCGCAGACCCAGGAGCCTGCCGGGGGCACCTCGCCTCTGCGTGGAGGCTCTTCGATTTACTGAGATATAGACTGCTGTCTTCAATATATTGTTGTCCCGTAAACCGCTTCACTGAGTGCGCCGTTGTCCTTCTACCTCGAGGTTTCGGAAGAAAGAAAGTTTCTGTGGGCACGGACTCGGCAGCTCCTAAGTGACATGAAAGCCATCTAGATAATGGCCAAAACGAAATTGAGTGTAGTGGAGGAAAAACAGAACCCAAACACCGGGTCATCACAAACAAAAGTGGTTGTCAAGAAGTGCTGGCTTGTGAAGTGCTCGTCAAGAAGTGCCAAACAAGAGTGCTTGCTGGAGCGGCTCGAGTTGTTAGATATTAGTCAAACATTCAGCTAGATGCGTGGTGCGCGTGAGATTCTGCTCAGGTGTAAGGTGGGCGAGTATGTCTCTCACGGTGCTAAATTGGTTGGTGGGCACTGTTGTCGAGGCGATCCAGGGTTCAGGATATGTTTCACTGATTTACATTTGTAAGTCAGTGCGTAGGATGGTCTGCAATCGTTGAAATATGGAAAGCAGGTCGGTAAAATTGAGTGGTCAGAAAAAATCAACTTCATCAGTAAATCTATTTAAAACACATGGCATAACCAGGCATTTTCTCTGCTAGATCATTCGTGTATTCCCATGCATCAGTGACCCTCTCCTGACCTTAAAGTTCCTGTTAAAGTTGGCAGGTGGCTGAATTCCATATCGTGGACTGTTACGACGATTGTGCATGCTGACCAGCCTGCTGACCTACCTGGTGACCAGCCACACACAGGAACTGAGCCGCAGCGCCGAGTGATGTGCCGAACACTAGCCAAGCCAACGTTTGGAATGGCTTCTTGTATGATGGAGACACTGATAGCCCGTTGCATTAGGACAGGTTTTCATAGCTGTAGTGCACTGCTTTTTTTCATTGCCTCACCCCCCACCAAAATGACCCCCAAATGCGGAGTACTCTTTTGGCCAGAGACTGGACCCTGATTCGGGCATGGCTAGGGGTTCGGGCAGTTTGTTAATGGTACAATACGACCGTCGTTTGCGATGAAAGTGATTTTGCCTGTCGGTAAGCTCACAATCGTTTCGTGGGATTTCAACGCGAGCAATACGTTTCATCATTTTGAACTCACATAGCCTTAACGTCTTGGCTATTGGAATGCGGATAGGGAACAATCAGCCAATAACCAGCACATCGAACCCAAATGTTCGCCAGTAATCAATCGGGAAGCGGTGAGCGTCATTTTAGAAAACTGTCCTAAAGTGCAATGTACCGTGACCTGATCCATGGGCAAATAGCTGAAATTGTTTTAACCAATATCCACTAGAAATAGTTTCTATCTAAGCATCAGCTTGGTCAGTCATCAAAAACACAAGCCATTCCAAATTCCTCGGCTTCTTTCATGCGGTTTGTGAGCGGCTAAAAGCCGGCCAATTTTCAGGCCATGCCATGCATAAACCCACTCGTGAACCGGTGATCCTCTGCCTTCAGAACGTTTCAGAACGTTTTCAGGGTGATTTCGACGATACTTGTACTTCTCCATCGGCCCATGAGACCGAGTGCGGCGCAACACGTCTCTTGCTTGTACCTCTGACTCCATTCTGAATAGCTCCCATGCTGTCCTATAAGCGCCGACCCCGTTCCGAACGGCTCATCTAGGTCGCTCCATCATTTTCTTCCATCTATTGACGTTTTCATCCGGTTCCGTGCTCCCTCACTGGCGAGGACCCAACTTTTGATGCAAAATTTTATCATCATTTACTCCCCGTTTAATGATCCGTCGCGGTGGGTAACCAGGACTTTAATGAACCAAACTCCGCCGTGATAAGTCAGTGCGCATAGCGTGTCGTTCACGCATACGCGGAACACATGAGAACCACTGGACGTGTCAGTGGATGCAAAATGATGACACAGTCGAAGCGCCAATAAACCCCAATGTTAGCAGCTAGCAGACAAAGTAGTGACATGTGGACAGCGCATGCAACTCTGTTGTTCCACGGAATAAGCGACCTGACTTGACATAGTGAATTGATCCCGGGTCAGCAGCCGTGGCAGCGTCCAGCTTACTGGACCCTTCCCTCTCGGCTCTCGTGCAGGGCACGTGACATGAGCTGGAGACAACTTCACCCCGGATAGTGACTCATCCCTCTCGTCTCTCATGCAGAGCACGTGACATGACCTGGCGACAACTTTACCCCGGATACTGACTCATCCCTCTTCTCTCGTGCAGGAGACGTGAGCTGGCCCATCATGGTGAGCTGACCCAGGTCAGCGGTCGGAGCGCCACTGTCAGCTTGACCCACCGCCACCCCGCGGCGCCGGCCTGAGCACCATGCCTCGGGAGAGGCGGGTCAAGTTCGACCGGCTGGCCACCGCCGAGGCCGAGGAGGACCAGGACCGCGGCATCGAGTTCACCACGCCTCGGCGGCCGCGACCGGTCAGTCTCCACACCTCCTCCCTCCCCGGCTCCGGCGGGGTCAGCTCGGTCGGGTCACTATCGGCCACCTGGAAAGGCCGGCGCCGGCGCAGGATGTGCCAGTCCGTCGCTAGCTGGCCGGCGGGTGCCGGGTGAGGCGTCAAACACCCTGTAACGGCAGTGGTCGCGGAGGCTCAGGGATCTCAAGTGGCGGTTTACTACATCACCTCGCAAAATGCCTGTGCTGACGATCGAGGTGTTTGGGCGCGACGACATCAGAACTGAGTTGGTGCGACGGCGCACAGTGACTTCAGCAGACAAATGACACCCTAAATCTCCAGGAAGATGCCAGGCTGCAGACTGGCTTTCATAGCAGCATGCTGTGAACGACGCTATACCATTCAGGGAAAAAACACTCGATGCACGGTCGATTTCTGAGAGCTATCCTTAATTGGGAGCTGCAGAATGATGCTTAAATATTCGCTTCAAAGCACAATAACATAAGAAACGTTCAAACTATCCGATGTTCTTTTCCGAACATAATATTCCGTTTTCTTAGCCAAGCGTCATGAGAACAGACATGAACAAAGCCAGCGTTCCGTGTGAGCGCACCATTTCAGGAGACCTTTAGCGACGACGGCTTTTGATGACATCCATAAACCATTTCAAACAAGCACTATGCGCTTTTCAAAGATGCTCCCCATATTTGCGGGAGAAGCCTCTAACAAATTGACTGCGAACAGCTAACACTCATGATAACTTGGCTCCGATCTAAGTCGAACACCATCCATCCCTGTACTAGCCGCCTCGGTTCGCACCCCGGGCGCGGTCTGTGGAGCGGCGCGCGCCAGTTGCATCCCTTCAGTGACGTTGTCCACCGCGACGTCATTCAGAGCCGTGGATACAACGATGGCTGGAAGGAGAACATTATTGTCAACGGTGGATGCAGCTGCGCCTCCCACATCTCCAAAAGTGATCCTAGCATTGTAAAAGCAATCCACAGCATTGCTTGGAAACAATCGACCTACACAATGCAGTTGAATGCTTGACATTTCCGGCGGAGTTCCGCATTTGCGTAGGAGCAGCGAAACTTCACCCAATGCCATTCAAAGCGGCGGCAGCAGACCGGCATCAGCGCCGGCCACATTAGCACAATCAGCACTGTGACACAGGTCATCGTGCAGCGGTCGCCTGCCGGTGGCGGCCGGGCGCACTGGCGGCGGCGCGACCCACTGAGATGTTCCCGAGAAATCAGACCGACGACGGCGTGCAGGTGTAGGTGGAGGCCGGCCACCGCCCGCGCATGTGGCGATGTTCCGCTGGACGGCCGACGCAGTGCACGGGCCGGCCTGTGGTCCTTTGCCGCGGAAAATATCGCTACAACTCTCGCGTTGCACGGGAATTGGTCCGATCCGAGGCTTGCTCGCGCCGCACGAGCAGGTTACGTCTCGTCTTTTTCTCTGTACACGCTTTTCCACTCAGAGGTTATGATCGGGCATGCCTGTCGGAGAGAGGTGTTGCAGCTCCTGGTCCTGGCGCGCTCACCCGCTGGTGCTCAGGTCAGTGGCAGTGGCGCTTCTCCTCAGCGGGCAGGGTCGGCTTCACACACGAGGGTAGAATGGGCGACATTTGATTGCGCAGGTTCTCGAATACTGACCACTATGCACACAGCTATAAGTGGTATGACCAGATGTATGCGCACATATAAGCTGCCAGGGCTCGTCCCCCTCTCTTGCCAAATTGATGACACTCATTGCATATACGTACATTACTAGACGTTGATAATAAAAAATTCCAGGTAGACTAGTAAAAATAAGAAAATTGAGAACTCGTTTGTTGGTTTACATCAAGTAAGAAATAGCGCACGCCTTCGTCATGCTAAACTCGGTTTTCACTGAAAATTCGTGAGCTATCCCACCCCCTCCCATTATGTAAGCCTGCTTACGACATAGGGCATGGTGCCTGTACAGCACGCGCATGCATAGCGTACGTACATACATTCATATAAGTCGTGTATTTAGAGTCAACAGTGCAGACCTTCACATATGACAATTTATTTACCTTATTCATTTTCCGCTACCCGTGGGATGGCCCATACCCGCCTGTTACCCACTTGTAATAAGTTGTAACCCCCTTTTCATTTGTTCCAGTCCCTATGCCTAAATTATTGGAAAGTTTGTAGATTACATTCAAACTTACCGTTTTTTCGCTGATAATTGTAAAACCAGTGTAAATGGAGCTTATTGTGACTGAAGGGGGTGCAAGCAGTAGCAATGTAGTAACGTTTCTTGAAGCACCTAGTTGGGATTCTGCAAACAGTTTGCTTATACCTGCAGCCATACCCCAGATTTTTCTAAAACCCGTGCGCACCCCAGGCACCCATTCCATAGGAGCGCCCGAGAGCTTACCAAAATCCTTGAAGGATCCTAGCACAGCGACATGTCAGTGTTCAACAGTGACACTGGAAACGCGTGGTCGTGGTACTTCCATTCTTGGGCGCGTACAGTGAACAGCTCGGTACCTGCGGGAAAGTGAACAGCTCGGTACCTGCAGGAAAGTGAACAGCTCGGTACCTGCGGGACAGGGAACAGCTCGGTACCTGCGGGACAGGGAACAGCTCGGTACCTGCGGGACAGGGAACAGCTCGGTACCTGCGGGACAGGGAACAGCTCGGTACCTGCGGGACAGGGAACAGCTCGGTACCTGCGGGACAGGGAACAGCTCGGTACCTGCGGGACAGGGAACAGCTCTGTACCTGCGGGACAGGGAACAGCTCGGTACCTGCGGGAAAGTGAACAGCTCGGTGCCTGCGGGACAGGGAACAGCTCGGTGCCTGCGGGAGCCCCGAACCGCGAGCCGACCGGCGCCGCCGGCTGGTGCCCGGGCCGGCCCGACCCCGCGGCCCCGCGAGGACTGGCTGCCCCGCGGCCCGTCAGCCCTCCCCGCCTCTTGTGTTGCTCTCTGGCAGGCCACGGGCGCACACAGCTCAGGGCCCGTCGGAGGCGCTCTGTGCGAACTGGACGCGCCTCCCCGCCTCTTGTGTTGCTCTCTGGCAGGCCACGGGCGCACACAGCTCAGGGCCCGTCGGAGGCGCTCTGTGCGAACTGGACGCGCCTCTCCGCCTCTTGTGTTGCTCTCTGGCAGGCCACGGGCGCACACAGCTCAGAGCCCGTCGGAGGCGCTCTGTGCAAACTGGACGCGCCTCCCCGCCTCTTGTGGCGCTCTCTGGCAGGCCACGGGCGCACACAGCTCAGGGCCTGTCGGGGACGCTCTGTGCGAACTGGACGCGCCTCCCCGCCTCTTGTGGCGCTCTCTGGCAGGCCACGGGCGCACACAGCTCAGGGCCCATCGGAGCCGCTCTGTCCGAACTGGACACCTATAGCACTGGTTCTCTCCGATTCAGGCGCGTCTTCGCGCATCTGGTGATGCAAAAAGCGCATCTAGTGGGCGCCAATAAGGGACGGTGGGAAATCATTCCGAGATATTACGGTTTGCTGCTTCAGCACAGGGTGGTATGGCACTAGGGGAGGGGGAGAGGAAGAAATATACTTTCATTTCAGCCAATTTGAGATTTTCTTTTTGATAGAACGAAGACAGGCATTTTTGATGGGCACATCACTTTAAGCGCATACATGCTTTATAGATTCGGCATTGTGGCGATTGGCCAAAAAACATTGGCCTGCTTTCCTGTCGTGTTACTTTCGCTTTATACTGTTCGAGTAATTAACTATGCCCAAACGAAGGGCAATTAGCTGACGCTCCATTTTATAAACGGAGTGCATCGCGATGTCTGCCCCCGTTTATAAAACTAAAAAAGAAGAGCGATCATCTGCACTACCACCCACATGTAGAAGAAATGCAACGAGATGCTTGTCATGCGCGATTTTTCGGCGAATTAGCCAGGTTGTAGTAACCTCTGTCGTGTCTGTAAAATTCGGCACCTCCCACCTCCCGAACAAAGCATGCAATCAAATCCAAGCCATATACCTTTTGGTGACAGATACCTAGTATAAACGTTGAGAATCGGAAAAAAACTTGTGCGCGTTGTCTCGTTACCAGATTCGTAAGCCTTGCCAGTGGCATTAGCGGCATTTTGACAGCGCGCTCAGTACAAATATCCTTAACAGCTTTAACGTCAAGAATGGTCTTGAAACACTATAACCCTGTCCCGCACACTCTTTTCACATGAAATGTGCATTGCATTTGATCCGATTACTCAGAATGAGCTCAAATTTAATGCAGTCAGGTTAAAAATGTAGGAGCGCACGTTGAATCAGGCCAGCACAATGAAACCCAATAGCCCGATAACAGTTCAAGGGGAAACTGATACCGTGGGGAGGCGACCTTCGCGTGAACCACGCTTTTTATATGGCACCCAAAAGGTATTTGCGCACCAATTGGTGCTCTACTTAAAGTTGTGGAAACATGGATGAACACTCCCGCACTTCCTTAAAATTTGGGCAGCGAAAGTCCTTGTTTAAATACAGCTCATGGTTGTGGAGGCCCTTGACTTGGCTGATAATAAATACGATGATTGTTATCATGCAGGTAGATGAGGGAGATCTGATGTCAGTAGCTACTTCCAGTTACGCGCCTGGCTGTTCTTGCGAAACATGGCGTGATCTATTTTTACAGTGAGGTTTTTCCGTCGTCCTGCACGTATACATTTTCCTGCTTTCCAGATGTCTGAATCAGCAGCGTATTGCTTAAAATTTAAGACCTTTGAGCTGGTTTTACAGCTGGGATGTTACAACGGTGGCCATTCGCATTATGCATCGTCAGCAAACTGAGTTACTCGGTCATAAAACGCTCACTCTTCGCGTTTGATCTGAGCTTAAGCCGGCGCTGCACACTGCCTGCGGTAAAATACTTCCAGGCGAACTATAGAAGGTGTGTACAGAGGTGCACTTTTTCTACGCGTTGTGGTGGAATTTGAACTGGAATGCTGCAGATGGAAGCATTCGATGCAGTGGCATTGCCAGCTGCGGTTGTTTTGACCTATCATGGGTGGATGCAAAATA